CCCAGAGGAGCGGGGAGAAAGGCGGCCCGCCCGCGCGGCCCCCGGCGCCTCATGGGGCGGGCAGCGACGGCCCTGCCGCGCCCGCACCAACGGTCCCAACGGCCACCGAGCCAGCGCGCCGGACCTGGAGCTGTTCCTGCCACTGGGGTCCATGCCCGAGAAGGTGGTGGTGGTGGTCATGGCGGCAGGGGTGGAGGCGGCGGAGGAAGGGGCTCCCGTGAAGGCCGGCGGGGAGTGACGGTCCCGGGACCAGGGCGCCCTCCCTCCTCAGGCCCTGCCTCTTGCTGCTGCCGGTGACAACTGCGGCCGCCGCCCGCACCGGCCACGCCTTTTATACCCACCTGAAGGCCCGCCCCTTTATGAGCAACTCATTGGACTGTTCAAACCAGAGCCCGGATTCTTATTGGTCCGAAGGCCGCCACTCCCCTCTTTGGCCCGCCTCACACTCTCCTCCACACCGCCTTGCCCCATTCATGAAGCCTTATTGGTGAAGAAATACGTCTGCTCGGCGCTGATTGGCCTCTCCGGGACGCTCGAGCCCTTTGTTGTTGATTGGCGGAGAAGCTGTCGATCACGTAAGGGGCGCTCCCATTGGCTTAGGCGCACATGAGGCGAGACAAAAGTGCCGGGGCCGTTTCTCCCGCGAGGGGCCGGGGGTCCCTGAGGGAGGGGAGGGGTGGCAGGGCGGGCGGCCGCCATCACCCGCGGCCCCGTCCCCCGGGCGGCCGCCCCAGCCCAGCCCCGAGCCCCACAGCCCAGAACCAGCAAAGGCTCCACCTCAGGAGCACGGGGCTACCAGCACCCCACGAGGACACCCTTCCACGAGGCACCACCCCAAAGCCATGGCCGTGCTGGAGGCAACACAGAGGTGGCCGCAGAGCATGGCTGAGACAGGCACGGCGGCCTTGGGTTGCAAGGCAAGCTGCTGCTGGCGTAGGCTGCAATGACGTCCCACACAGGGCACCTCAAGCACCAGCATTGCCCAACACCCCGGGAACAGCCGGGAAAACACCGCGTGTTGTTCCAAGGGGGACCGTGGGACGCGCCTCCTGTCACCTTGAAGCAGAGCACTGCGGTGCGATAAGAAACCCTGCAGCAAACAACCTTGGTTGGCCGGGAGGCTCGTCCCTTCAGGGCCTTGTCTTGAGGAGTCAGGCCGCAGGCAACACTGGTCTTTATAACAAGCAGTAGTTAGCAGACACCAGAACACTGCATTTTTCCAAAATAAAACAAAATATGGCAGGGGGTGGCCCATACAAGTGACTAGCTTTGCCGTGGTGGTGTCTTAATGGCATGATGTGGTAGACCTGTCCATCCACTAAGTATTAGCACTAAAGTGACATATTACACAGGCCAACAGTCAATGCCTGGTAAGTTATCTGCATCAAAGCGACGTTTGGCTTGGTGGCTGAGGCGCATCCTGAACCACCAGCATATCTTTCAGATGCTTCTGCACCTCCACAGTTTTACTACAAAGCTAAGGACCCCAGTGCTCCTGCTGAAAACGCTATTGTAATTATGTAATTAGTAGTGGTATTGCAATTAGTACCTGCATGAAGTGGAAAGGAAAGAAGGGCCTTCAGTCCATCCTAGCCCCCACTCTCCAATTTGCACCCACAATAGCAGAGCATTTTCCTCTAGAAAATAGTTAATTTTGTGCCTGGAAAGCTATTCACGTCCTTGCACGACCTCAACTGGGGTGAATGTCTGAATGCAGCCCTAATATTAACATGGTTTAGGAAAGAGTTTAATTACTTACAATGCACAAACACGGGACCTATAAAAAACACCTTGTTAAAGGAAAAAAAAAGAAGAAAGGAAAACACACACCACACTATTTAGAACCTCAGGGAATTCTGTACATCAAATCTTTCTTTAAAGGTAGATTAAAGGGAAGTTTTAAGCAACATGACACTACTGTTTTAATTCCAGAATCCCTTGGGCTTGGGCATTAAGAAGTCAAATGATACCTACTTGCACACAGGTAAGCACCTACTCTCTTGGGAACTTTCAAGAGTATTTTCTCCTCTAAATGCTTTTTTATTCATATCCACAGCATTTGACTGAAGTTTGAACACTGTTGTACCCATGAGACCCACAGAGCAATTTTCTTCCCCAAAATGAAGAAAAACTTGTTCCTTCTCACAAAGCTAGATTTAAAATGCAGCTGTAGGACTCTAAAGCCTTAGCATTTCCTAGGGATCTTCTCTGATCTCTGAGGTACTGAGGTGGTCCTGACAGCAGGATCATCTTTAACCAAAATCTCCTTTGCCAATTATTTGCCCCCAACAAGATCAAGGGGGTTGTGGAGATCACCACAGAACGAGGTTCGCAATCCTCCCCAGCGCGATGACATCTGACCAGAACAACTTCCAGCAGCTGTCTGCAAACCTCAGACACCACAAACAATTCCCACCTGTTGTTGAAACTCACCCTGCAACGCCTGCAAAAACCTGCCGTGAGGCTCAACAACACTCCAGGAAATACCTACCAGGGTTAGGCGAGGGAAGATAACATTGGCATGAGAAAAGCCTCAGCTTGAAGATCCTCCCATGACCAAGGGTCTCCTAGCCACGAGCCTCTTTGCTATTTATGGCTGTCACAAAGAGCCTTCTTCCTTTATCCCAAGGGCACAGTACAATAAATAAATAAATAAAAAGGTTTTGACTCAGCCTTGCCTCCTCTGATAAGTTCTTCCCCAAGTCATTCACAATTGAAAGCAGAAAACAGCCTAAGCTCTTTGTCTCTGTTACAGCTGGATTCCAAACTGCCAAAGACTTTTATCATCTGAAATAAAATGTAGTTTAAGGTCAGTGGAATCCTGGTATCCTACACATTCCGCAGTTTCTCCACCAAACTGATGCTGGATTTCGTAGGGGTGGCAGCAGTTTGCTCTGGTGCTTCAGGCTACATAGGCAGATAGAGTTCACTGCAGTAAGCAGTAGCTGTAGGAAAGATGCATGACTCCCAGTACAACCTCTCTCTCAGCTGCACAGAATTGTTAGCTGCGTAAAAAGCAGAATGGCCAAGTCTTTTCTGGGCTTCCAGCCTTGCTAAGACTGGCAGAGTACTCCAGTTACCTTTGTTTTATCACTGAAGTATCACTAGAAGGGGAAGTTCATACCTCCAGAGTCCTCAAGGAGCTCCTTTCATCCAATTTTTTCCCCCAAGCTTCGTTAAACAAGGGTATTTCTGGGCTGCTGCAGTTCTGCTTACTGAGATCTATGGCTTATATTCACCGTTTTAGCGTCCAGTCAACTTCAAACAGCACAAAATCCATCACAGAGCCTGCCCTGTGCCCCAGCAACCTCAGGAGATTACTTAGGAGCAATCATCTCCTTCACATCTTAGTTCTTCAGGCTGCTACACAACTGGCTCCTTCCCCAGGGCTACAGGCACCTTCACATCAGGATTCACAGCTGGTCAAAACCCACAGCTCTTCCCTACGTCTCCATTCCCACTGCAGCTCTCAGCCAGCTAACACACTTGTGCTGTGCTCCTGGAGCATTCCACAAACCTCCATTACTTATAGGATTCTCCTGATATTGAGCCACTTCTGTAGCACCATTGGTCACCTCCCTTACTCTCCTAACCTTCCTCATTCATTTGATCCCTCCTGCATGAACTGAGGCTCTTCAGGGGTAGGGGAAAGCTCCTCAAAGGGTCTCAAACCATTTCATAAGCAGCAGCCAGACATGCCAGCAGCTCCATGGTTGAGTGAAAGCACAAATCCCTGCTACTAGTGAAGAAACCAGGACTCAAAAACTAAGTGTCTTGGTCCAGACCAACCAAAAGCCTAAAGCAGGGGTTGAATCCCAGTTTTTCATCCTCCCATTTCTTCATCCTAACCAGTAGGGAGGAACACTGTGCCACCCGACCACTAAGTACAAAAAGCAAAATAAACTAAAGGATTAAGTCATTCCCTGATCAGAACACACTCAGATTGGCAACTAGTTAACAGCTGGAGCGAACAAATCACAGTAACACGCACACTGAAGTGTAAGTGATCACAATTACAATTAATTCTTGTTGTTTCCTTCCTCCAGAAGACCCTATCACATCAGCTCATACAAATATGCTACGAGGTGACAATCTAAAACCATAATATGAATCCTTCAATTTATTGTTCACTTTTAATAGATGGGCATCAAGGATTTAATTCAGTTTTTGGCTCTGAAAACAAAATGCTGTTCCTTAGAAAATTGTTTCCAAGAGGCTGAATCACACCAAGCATTATTTCTTGGAGCCAGTCACACTATACCTTTTCATTAATGTTGCAGTAACGGTCACAATAGAAGCGGGATGCAACAGCCATAATGACAGTACTTACATTACATTGGCTGCCTGGGGAGTAATGAAGGGAAGGTGTCAGAAATGAATATTGCTGTAAGGAAACAATCTGGTTTGACCATAACCTTGCCGAGCTGTTGCACATGTTCTGACAGTGCACATATCTTGTGGCAGTGATTATTTTGTCCCAATTTAACAATTCTTCTTTTGTCAGGAATATCTCTCTATGCCAGTACAAGAATCTCTCTCATGTTACCACTTGGAGTATTTTCTTACACTTTTGCTAGATTAGCATATTCCATCCCAGAACATTCTGTCAAGCACAGCATAATACTCTGCACTTCCAGAACCACCTCGGAAGCAGCATCACAAGCCATTTAATATTGATCCTCATAACAGCCTTTTAAAATGGATATGATCTGCATCTCATTTCCAGGTGTTAATTGATTGGGGGTGTTCCATGACACCAGCTGGGCTTTCAATCTGTCTCTGTCCTCCCTATACACGAATGAAAAATGTCATACTTCAAGCACACAGATCTGAAAATATTACTTACATCCTTCTAAATAATGGGGGAAAAGGATATTTTGAGCCCACTTCACAAGTGAAACTGCAAGTGTTTGAGATGCTAAATGCAAGGTCTCTTCAACAACAACTATTTACTAGTGTTGTATCCAATTAACATGACCTATCCCACTATCTTCATTTAAAAATTATGAGAGGAATAAAAGCTCTGGGCACAAATTACATGACAATCACTTTAGAACACATTAGTTGAAATTTGTGGATAATAAACTAACCTGCCCAGGCTCTAGGACATTCCAGCTCTTTAATAAGCATAAAGGACTTACGGTTGGACTTGATGATCTTGAACGCCTTTTCCAACCATAATGACTCTATGACTCGTCTATCAACACAAACTCAAAGAGTTTTTTTTTCCTCTCCCATGTAGACTTCTAATAATCCGTTCGGCTACTAGTGCAAACAACAAGAACTGTTAGGAATCAGAATAAGTATCATATGGAGAATACGTGCAAAGTCACCAAAGAAAAGAATGCTAAAAACTACTTTGAAAAAAAAAAAAAAGTTGGTATTTCGACATGGCTGTGAACAGATGTTATTCAGCAGAATAACATATATGTTAATAACATATGTTCATATATAATAACATTCATCAGAATAACATTAGCCCAGGTCATCTAAGCTGTTTGCTAAACTAATGGGAACTAAACATTTGAGGCTCTTGAATTAAGTCAATTAAGTTCTTTGAAATGACTTATTGATTTTATTTAATCAAGAAAGCATCTATTCAAAAGGCCACTTTATCAGTTTTTGGTGGCAGCAGCCATCTTATACAAATATAATTCAGTATTGTTAGCTGAATTTTATCAAGGATTCCAGAAGCAACCTCAACCTAAATAGCAAAAATATGTTAGAAAAGAACAGTTAACCTTTTTTTTTTGTCCAATATCTTTTTTCGGTTTAACAACCTGTTGCTAAATGCTAAAGGAAATTAAGGAAAGCTTTTAAAGGAAAGCTTATGCTAAATTAAGGAATATTTTCAGAGCTGTTGCATCTATTTATTGATTCAGAAACCTTTTTTTTTCCTTCTTAAATAATAAAGGAGTTTCAATAAGCTAATCAAAATTCATGCTAGATAGGTGCAGGATTCTTGTCTGTTCTGCACACTAAGTTAATGACGGATGAAGAGCCCATGTACTACTTCACAAAATTCAGACATCGTTTTCAAATGCATGCTGCTCAACGCCTGGCACTTTACATCTTTGCTTCAGGAAAGAAAAATGAGGAGACAAGATACAACAGGGAGTTCTGAGCTCCACAGTCTGAAGTTGGGCCGAATAAAACTGTACTTAGGACAACCTCACCCTTTCTTCAGAAACCAAAGCAAGTCCAAACATCTTTTTTTTCTTTTTTTTTCCTCCCTTGAATAAAGCCAACTTTCTCGTGGGAGCAGTACTGGCATGATATCAAATTGGAAGAATCCTGTAAATTTTTATCAGATATCTAGCCAGGTTGAAAGCCAGATATTCTAAAGGCAGGCAGGAATGTACTCCCTGTCTGACCTACAACTTTAGGAATGAGCTAAGGGTGGTGAAATATATACCTTTTTGAAAGAGAAAAGGTTTCCATGCCTTGGTGGTTCTGGATACGAAAATGTTTGCTCACTAGAAGCAATTCCAACACTGCAATGTAACGTGGAAGCCTAGAAGATGGATATCAGAATAAGAAACAATCTGCTTAGCAGTGGAACTCCTTAAAAATAATTAAAAAATTAAAACAAAAAAGCAAGCTCATACAAGTTACATCTTTCTGCTGCACAGTTAGTCAAAAGCAAGTGCAAAAACCTATCTTCTAATAATCTGCATTAGAGGTAATGAATATGACACCAAGCATGTTACCAAAGCTGTGACACAAGCCCAACAGCCCATCTAAATGCTCAGCAGGGAAGAGCAGACACATCCTTGTGCCACAAAGCAAATGCACTCCCAGATCTAGCAGGCAGAGACCCTGGCATATAATGATCACCTCTTGAATTAACCAGTGTAAAAGCTACCACCAAAAGAGCGAGCTCTGGCAACCAGTTAATACCCAAGAAGAGCACTACCTTACTGCAACTACCACAAACATTAGAACATTCCTAAGAAACCAAAGGATGGTTGGGCTGCTCAGCAGACAGTTGTATCATCTTTCATGGATTTTACTGCAATCCCTCACTTTCCCCACGAGACAACTCAAAAAGAGCAGCCCTGTGGAAAAGACTCATGGAGAACACTATTGTCATTAGCTCCCTTCGGTGCTTCGAGGGAGGCGGCGTCTTCCCCGTTCACGCAGGACGCCACGGGGGCAAAGCAGAGCTTGGCATCTTCATCACCATAGCTGAATACACCCAAAAAGAGAACTTCATTTTTTATTTTTGCTTTACATTTTCAAGCATCTCTCATTTGATAGCATGGAAAATTGAATGCTTAGCAAAATGATTTTTCTTTATAACTTAATGTTTACATCGAAAAGCATTCAAATACAGAGTTTTAAATAAGCTATAACAACAACATGGATGTTTCTATTAAAAACTGACAAAAAGAGCTCAACCCAAAGGCATAAGTAAATAGTCCAGTATTTTGCAGTTTGCCTAGTCAAACATTTTTGGCTTAACAGAACATACACACAAATCAAAGGAGAAAACGGACTTCTATTTCTAGTTCAACTGTTGATGGACCGCGAGGTCTCAAGGAAGCCTTTCAATTTCTGACAATCTCCCCACTGTAAAAGGGGATGATGCTTATTTACTTACCACATAGAGAACTCTGAGAATTAAAGAGCATAAGGTGCTGCAGAGAAAGAACTACAAGTGCTCAATACTATTAAGCTACAGAAAAATAAAGAAAACTGATTATTTTAAACAAGAAGTTTATTTAAACAACAAGACGCTTTACTTGAAGGGAAAACTATCTAGGATTTTTTTTTCTTTTTTTCTTTTTTTTTTTTTCTTTTTTTAAGAGTAATTTACCCCTACTTAGACAGAGATTGCTCTACATGTAACAGCTACGTACAAAAAAGTTATAAAATTGTCCTTGGTTTTACAATGATAAAAGAAAAACATTGAAATTTTCCAATCAAACAAGGTATGCAAGGTTTTTGTTTTTAAACAGTGAGAGCAAAATAACTTACTGGAATATAAAGATAAAAGTAGAAGGAGCATGCCACTAACGGAGAAAGGGGCATTTTCACAGAACCAGTTTGTTTTCCCACCCCATCTCCATTAAATGTTGATCAAAACATACCATTGGCCATTTAGTTAAAAAAAATATGCATTATGTCTGTGCACATACACCAGTTACTTATGTACAATAGAAGGAATAGGAAAAAAAATCAGAGAGAGAAGAGAGAAAACTATACTGCAGTAGTCAGGATGTGGCTGAACCAAGTCTCATTTTTCTAATTGTGAATGTGTTGCCTGTGGGAGCACAGTTCTGGAGAGGAAAGTAGCAGGTTCTTTTTTTTTGTTTTATTTTTAGTAAACTCCTCCTGTTTGCTGCTGGAACACATCAATTGTATCTTCATCCTCCATTTCCAACTACAGCAGAAAAAAGAAAAAAAGGCTTTCAACTCCTCTCATATATCTACTGTAAGTTGGGTACTTCTTTTATTTCCTAACTTCATTAACCAGCCAACACCACCTCCCACCAATCATCACTTTTCGCAGTTAAGGTACTTCACCATAACTCAAAATTAAAGAAACAACGTGAGAAACGTCCCAGTGCGCAACTGGTCCTCGGGTGAATTTTAGGATGCAACTTCACTGAGCATTATATGACTCCCGTGCAAAAAGCTCAGATAACACAATGTCGTAGTTCTCTTGCCTTCTTTACCACTACATCCTTTTTCTTTTAGTTATTTCTACATTTACCTTAGAACATTCCCACAATTTCACTTTGTTATTCAAATGTGCAAATGGCTTCAGCTAGAGCACTACTGAAAACGGATTATAATTAAGTCCGCTAGCCCAAGCTGGCAGCAAAACACAGTATCAGGCACAAAAAATTAAAGATCATTTCAGGCATATTATATGGTCAACGATGTAAGAAGATGCCAGTGAGTGAAACAATACTTCATTACTACAAGTCCGTTTTTCCCAGTAAGTTTTGCAATTGATACTCCTGGGATGTTAACGTTACCTGCTGTCAAAAGCTGCACCAAGACCGAAAGAGTTGCTCTAACTAATGTGCGAGCTGTATTTCTAAATAGCCTCAATTTTGGCTTCAGGATATTTAACTAGTCTACGGCATTTACTGCAGCTATAACTGATCCTTGGCTTCAACATAACATGAATGGAGAGAAAAGACAGCCATTTGTCTCAATTTTTAATATTTTAAATTAAACACGGTGTAGACTGTGGTCATAAGAGGCACGTTCTTAGAAGCATCTGCTTTAAAAATACAGATCTTATACAGAACTTGCAAAAACAGAAAACTTCCTTATTCTATACGAATCATGAAGTGATTGTAAAAACACACAAAAACAGCTGTTCCAAGTGACCGTGTTAGGCAGGATAGGATAGAAAAAAAGCTCAGAGCCACAGAATACCATTTGGTTGTCACAATGACCTTTGTTTTACCCAGATTACAGAAAGACAACCCAAACTTTCCAATATTCAACAATTTTATACCTGAAACACTGTTTCAGATCAGAAATAATGGAAAATGACTTGCTTTTTACATCATGTCAGCTTACAAACAGAACTCCTGATATCCTGAGAAGTTTTCTTATGAAACAAAGCTATGGCTTCAGAAAACTCTGTTCTTACCTTGCCAATCCTTATCTCCAGAGCCATGAATCAATAAAGCAACACTTGTACATGGCTCACCATCTGCTAACACCGTAATTAATTTTCTTATTTTGTTACTATAGTAAAAGATATCTTAGAATCCACTTCTGATAGTTCTAAAACGAATTACTACCCCCAAAAAATTAAACATTAAAAAAACACCCAAGTTCTACTAGTGATGTATGCTATTACACAAATATTTCCTTTTAAACAGAAGCATCAACTCCTGCTGGAAACATTATATACAGTTTTAAGATTTGCTCCTGCTTGTTTACCTGTGCAGGTGTGTCTGTTTCATTAATTGGCTGCCCATCGAACCGGAATCTGATTTGCCTCATTGACAACCCCTAGACGAAGAGAGGTGACACAAAGGGACATTAGTCTGGTGTAAAAACACTCACTGGTTTTCTCCCCAACTTGTTACTGGAACTGTACCACTGTCATACCAAAAAACACCCTTCAACAATTCATGGTATAGTTTTCATATTCCCCTCATGCACTGCCTAGAGGCTTCTCACTAAAAATCCTTGCAGTCTGGTTTGTATTAAAAATTGCAATGTGTCCAATTACTAAGAGAAGCAACAGTGCCCCCACTGACTGTAACTTACAGTAAAAGGATTTCTAGCCCACAAGTCCCACCCCAAATGCCAAAACCAACAAGGTTCTTACAGTCATTTTTTAATATTAAATATTTCAATCAGAATTGTATGCAACACTTTGGATGAGAAATGCCAACAAGCAAATACTCCCCCGCCACTGCCACCTCCCACCAAAATAAATAAATAAATTTTCATAGAAACGCAACCAATGTGTATTAGTCTGGAGTAACTAACAGAATCTAATCATAAATTTTTGAACATAAATACATATGAACAAAAAGAGCAACGCAGCAAGTCATTTTGCTGACCTCTTCCATCCCCCCAAATACTAATTTTCCTTCTCATTTTGGCCTACAGATTCAAAGAGCCAGCTGGGGAGCAACAGGACCCTGCATTAAGGTAAGCTTAACAAAAACAATCACATTAGTTTTCAAAGATACTTCATAGTACACTGAACTATGCAAGTAAAGCAAGAAAAAATAAGTTTGAGGATACAACCAGGAAGAGAGCCAAGAACTTTCCATGTCTAGTTTATTCCAGTTCTATCTACTCTTTGTACAAAATATCTAAACATACAGTAAGATTCATTAGCTTGGAAGTAAACCCAATATATGGATGATGCTGCCTTGGCAGATCTGAATAGGAAAAACAAGTCCCCATTTTCCTAGGCAAGAGCAAACATTACATACAAAAGAAAACTTAGCATCACAATCGTTTTCCTAGAGAAGTGGATTTATCAGAAGAAATGTTTTCCTAAAGAATTATTCTGCAGATTATTTTTTTCGCTAGGACTTCAAAGTTCATAGCAAAATGCCTTCTACAGCATGACTCAAATTCAGCTACGTTCACTCAGAGCATCACCTTATTTAAGAAAACCATGTGTCTAAGTGTCATGGCAGCGACACATTTTTGCACAGCAACACTTGGTTTGAAATGTCTTCTCCCTGTGATTCTTAAAAATATGTATTTCTTTTTCTGGAAGTGTTTTTTTTTCCCAGGTTCTTCACAACTTTATGAGCTGAATAAACGCTAAATAATAAACCATACTGAAAAGCTGTAGCTTGGCGAGATCAGCATCCATAGTAAAATTGAGTAGGTTCAACTGATCATCTTTTCCATTTGCAATAATTTGATAATCCAACATATAATCCAAGGTCCATTTTAGTTCTACTATATGTAATATATGATTTTGCCTCTAAAACTGTTAAGGTCTCTACCTTGCACAGCTTCCACCTCTTTAAAATAAGATCTAAAGTCTACAACTTGCAATTTTTAAGATAGTGTATGGCTCATTTGGAGCAAGGACAAGTAATTTCAAAGCAAGTTTGAGTATTAAACATCTTAGAAAGAGGTGTTTAAACTTAAAAAAAGAGCATACCTCCACAAAAATATAGCTTGGAAACCTATTTAAAAGCCTTTTCAGAAAAAAAGACATCCATTTATATTTTTTTTTTCAGTTAGCACAACTTTTTCTGTTGTTTTTCTGTTCTGATTTCTATCAAATTTGGATGAAAAGTCTTAAAACTAAGCTTTGTTTTGCATTCAGATGACCTGGAGAATGAACTATCTCTCATGTAACCTCTTCTAGAACTTCACAAACAATTAACCAAGCCTCAGACTCCTCAAAGAGAGAGAAATATGTGCACTTTATGTTTGGGAAAAACAATACACAGTGCTTTACAGAATATAACAAAGACAGAGGCTGAAAAAAATGAACTCACAGACTAAAACATTCACTAATATTTAAACATCTATAAAAAGTATATCCATTAGGAGTTCATTTACTGTTTTTATTTGTATTGCTATACTACTATGGGCAAAGAATAAACAGAAGAGATTTCACTATGATATTCAGAGAGCAGATTTCATTTTTTCTGTTAAAAAGTTACCTCAATATAAAGGCATTTTATACTGTTTTATTCAGAAGGACCACTGAGTGTCTCTGTTAAACAAACCAAAATTCCCCAGTCACAAATACTTTGGGCCTGTAGAGACAGCAGTTTAAAAGCAGACATTAAAAAAATATAACCCTGAAGTGCAGCATAGACAAAGTTTTCCTCATAAACTGCTTCAGAAGGAAGTGTTAAATAACATTACCCTTCCACATGTATTTTCAAATTTCTTGCAAAACTACCTGTAATCTAGTAGATTGGCTGCAGTTGCCCCATGTTAGCAAAATGTGTATTTTGTCCCTTAAGAGGATAAATTTAGCAACTAAGTCACAAGAGATTTAAAGTAAACAAAAGGAAAAAGCAAAACTCATCATTACAAGCTCCTTCCCAAGCCTGTCCTTCGACACCTTTAAACCCTGAAACACTCACTGATACCCGCTCACCTTAATATGATGTTAATGTTAAGCTACTATATCAAAAGTCCACAATCAGACCAGGAGCTTACTCTGTGTTATGAAAATATCTGATTATCATCCAACTAATCACCCTAACTTCACATTGCAGGTTCCTATCCCATCATTTCCATATTGTTATTTTTGAGTAGCAGAGTAACAGTAGCTTCCCAACAGCCTAGAGCTATAAGGCAGATTTCACAAAGATAATAACTAATTACTACTATTTTACCCATTTCCTGCCACAACTCTTACTGGGCTACTCTGTAACAGACCCTAGGACGAATATAACTTCTACAACACAAAGAGTTTCTGTCAAAACGTTAGCATTTTGCATATCTACACAGTTTTAAGACTTTACTGTCTTCATCCATCTCTGCGGACATCACCTCTCCCCCAGACACTGGTTCTCCTAATGTTCAGACAAGAACCATACCTGTCGTTCACAATAGGCTTTCATTAGTTTACTAAGTGGTGTATGCCTCTTAATCTTAAACTGCACCACAGACCCATCTTGCCCTGCCACCTTCAGATTAATGTGGTCATTGTTTTCAGTCTTCACTCCTTCCTGTTGAGGGGGGGAAAAGAGAAAAGCACGTTTTTAAAAGGTATGAAACAAGAAGTTTTCATTTCACCAAAGTGCAACAGGTCATTAAAAAAAAAAAAAAAAGAGGAAATTAAGTTATTATTGCTGTTTACCAACTTCACACTTTGAATTAGGAAATAATGGCCAGTGCTTTCAATTTGAAACAAAACATATACACATACAAAAAAGAAACAATTAAGAAAAAAACAGTATTAGTTGCCACTGTTGAGGCAGATGAACATGCAAAGCAGCAACGAACAACTACCCCAGCTCTACAACAATTTTCAAAAAAGTTATTTCTGCCAAGGGCAGGAAAATATGCAATGTTATAGCTCCATATCAAAGCGATAAAAATATTTACTTTAGCTCCAACACTGGCAAGCCTCCTTCTCACTTTATCTAACTTTTTTTCCCCCCTCATGTTAATTACAGCGCTTCTCCAGGAAAGTTTAAGCCGCTTTAAAGGAGTATTTTTGAAAAACATGACAACCTGGAGACAGACAGGCCTTCGGTGCTCTCAGAAAACATTAAAGATCGGAGATAAGCAGACCGACATCTCTCGCTTGCAGGAGAAGCCGCGCACCGAAATTACAGGGAACCGACTTCCAACTTCCTCGACCGTGCCCTGACCCGGGCGCCGAGGCCGAGGGGAGGCCCGGGGCCCCGCGGGGAGGGCCCGAGACCCCCGGTCCCCGCCGCGCTGCTGCCCAGGGCAGCTCCGCGGGGCTCGGCTTCACCGGGGGGCTCGGCCCCGCCATGTGACAGACGTGGCTCGGGCACAGCGGGGCTGTCGCTGGCGGGGTGGCCGCGATTTATTCCATTTTGGAGCTTTCAAAATCCGTTTTTGATGAAAAAAAAAATATAAGCGTGTATGTATTTTATATATGTTAATTATAATATAATAAGGCAGCAGAGGGGCGTTTGCTGGCTGTAGTATTAGCTGCGGCTTTGCGGGGTGTGCTTCAAAAATAAAACTAGCGCTAATAAGGTTGGCAAATCCGCCCTCGTGCCGCCGGGAAGCGCCGCGCGCCGCCGCCCGCTC